CCCATTATTATTTCTGTTAACAACACAGAAGGTGAGAAAAAGTTTGAGATGCTTTCTTTTCAACTAAAATATTTCTGCTGTTGTTCTGGGAGTTGTTTTTCTTAGGAGGCAATTGCCTTTTCTAACAGGGATTGAAGGGCAGAGAAGATTTAAGAGATAAGGGATTAACTAGTAGCATGGAACTGGAAAGTAGAGGAGCTTTTCAGTTTCTCTTAATTATTTTGTTTGTTACTGTACAGACAATCAGACAAGACCATGTGCTAATGTATAAACAAAAATGACATTCTATGGCCAAATATCTTTTGGACTACCTATCATTGGATAGATTTCATATTATATCTTACTTCACAATGTCCAGATTATTTTAAAAAATGACTTTACTTCTAATACAAGATTGAGCCTTCAACTGATACTTGATCCCTACAATGAATAGCCCAAGTAATGCTAAGTAAAAGAAGTTGTATACTTATTTCTCCTTTCTTTTCTTGGAAGTGTATTTCTTATGTTATCAACCTGTTATGGTGTTCCTGAAAATAAACAAAAAAAAATCTAAAAACTAAAATGTGGGAGTTCCTGGGTGGCTCAGTCAGTTGAGTGTCTGCCTTCAGCTCGGGTCATGATCCTGGGGTCCTGGGATCCAGCCCTGCCTGCGGCTTTCTGCTCAGCCGGCTGGGAGCTTGCTTCTCCCTCTCCCTCTGCCTGCCACTCCACCTGCTTGTGCTTGCGCCATCTCTGTCAAATGAATAAATAAAATCTTAAAAAAAGAAAAAATAATAAAAACTAAAATGGAGAGAGAAAATTAAATAAGGCAAATTGGAAATATGCCCCTTAAACAATTCATGTGGCTTTTGTGCTGGTATATAGACTACCATATGATATAGTGAATTTAAGGAATAAATTTGTTGTGGGACAAAGAGAAAAACCAATATCATTTATTCATTTAGAAAGCATTTATTAAATGCCTCGTAGTGTTAAAGAATGTGTAAGGAGCAAGATATAGAACCATGTCTTTCCCTCTGTAAATTAGTCTATTGGAGAAGAGAGATAATTAGTGATCTTTGCAAATATATTTCTATTAGCTTTGGTAAAAGAAAAGAATAAGCAAGATCTTTACAAAGTGTAAAGACCTTGAATTTTTTACAGGATGATATAAAAAATACTTAACAGCTGTTAATGCCACCAACCAATGAAAAGTTGGTCACCCCAACTACTGGCTGAACACTGGCCTTGGTTACATTAATTAGGGGTTTCCACTGATAGTATGTGGAATGGTAGTGTAAAAACAGTCATTCTAAATAAGTCTCTTTTTAAGTTTTTGGTAACAGATATAGTTAGTTTAGAAATATAAATAGGATTTGAGAAAAACTCAGCTAGATTTTAAATTTTTGATATTTTTCATTTCTTAATTTTTATATTTACTTTATAAAATTTTTTTAGATAATACAGTCACATGATTAAAAAAATCAAAAGGTACAAAAGGCTATTCAGCTAAAGGAGTCCCTTCCACCCTGTCCCAGACTCACAGTTCTCCCTGGGGGAAACCAATGTTGCCCCTTTTCTTGTGCATCCTTCCAGATATACTATGTATATAATTTTTTAAAAACTTACTTAGGTAACAAATATCCTAGACTGGAGCTTATAGGCCAGCACAAAAAAGAACTAGTGACCAACTAAGACAACCAAGAACATTAAGAAATAGTATTTTAGGGACACCTGGGTGACTCAGTCGTTAAGCATCTGCCTTCGGCTCAGGTCATGATCCCAGGGTCCTGAGATTGGGCCCCACATAGGGCTCCCTGCTCCTCTCTCTCCCTCCGCCACTCCCCCTGCTTGTGTTCCTGCTCTCACTAACACTCTCTCTGTCAAAAAAAAAATAATAATAACTTAAAAAAATAGTATTTTATATTAATCTTAGTGCAACAGACTGAATGTATCCCCCCAAAATTCATACGTTGAAACCTAACCCACAAGGTGATGGTACTAGGAGGGGGGTGCTTTGGGAGGGAGTTAGGTCAAGAGGGTGAAGCCCTCATGAATGGGATTAGTGTCCTTATAGAAGAGACCCCAGAGAGCTCCCTCTCCCCATCTGCTATGCGAGGACACAACGAAAAGACTGCCATCTATGAACCAGAAAATGGGATATCCCCAGACACCAAATCTGCCCACGCCCTGATCTTGGACTTCCCAGCCTCTATAACGATGAGAGATAAATTTCTGTTGCTTATAAGCCACCCAGTTGATGTGTATTTTGTTACAGAAGCCCAAACTTCTCTAAGACACTTAGTTACTGAAACTCCTAGGAAAGGGCGTCCTGTCCACTGTTACATTCCAGGTCAGAGATGTTCCCTTAAGGAAAAAGCGTTGACTATATGCTTTAAAGATGGGATATTTCAAGTTGATTACACATAACAAGAGTTAAGGAATCTAAGTATAGTTTTATTTATTTATTTATTTTATTTTAATTTTTTTAATTTTATTTATTTATTTGACAGAGAGAGA